TCCTGCGGGATGACCAGCGGGTCAAAATCATCATCAACGAGATCCCCGACAAAGTCAGGCAGTTTGAGGAGGAGTTCATCAGCCTGCTCTCCAACATCACGGGCGCCATCGTCAACACGGATGACGTGCAGGTAACCTTGGAGGCTGCTTTGAGGGGTTGGTAACTCCCTTCCAGATGCTGCTTGGGAGGTCTCTTGTGTGAGAGTCCTGTCTGTAAGCCATAGACACCCCTGAGCTCTAAAGGTGATGGATTGGATCCAAGGGGTCCAGAGTGATGCTTTTGAGGGTCTCCTACTACCTTGAGCAACCTCGGGGCACACCCAGGAGGAGAGGCCTCTCCCACACTTGCAGACCTTGTTGTGTCTTCCCAGTTCCACGTTGACAAGAAAGGTCGGGTGAACTTCGCACAGACGGAGCTGCTGATCCACGTGGTGAATAGGGAGACCAACCGCATCCTGGACGTGGAGCGGTACGTCCCCTGGCCCATCACCCACCCCGTGGGGCCTCGGGGACCCTCATTAATGTCAAGATGCCCAAGCAACCCTTCTCTTCCCAGGGTTATTCAGATGATAGACGAGAACAAGGAGCAGTTGAGGAATCTCTTCAGGAACTACAACGTGCTGGACGTGCAGCCTGCCATCACTGCCCGGGCGCCAGATGACCTCTCAGCTCTGCAGGTAGTGGCCCAGCTTGGGCTGGAGATGCTTCTCACAGGTGGGGCCACGTCCCTTCTGATGGGGACTGGCCATGGACTGGAGAGATGTTTCACCCTCATAATTTCGAGTGCGTGCCCACCACCGGGTGCTGGCTCCATGCCGGAGGTTTCCACCACCCCTCTGTCTCTCCCAGATGGCAATCATCGTGCTGGCCGTCCTGCTCTTCCTGGCTGCCATGCTCTTCATCCTCATGAACTGGTACTACAGGACAGTGTGAGTAACCCCCAAGCTCTGCCCCACCAGCTGCAATGTCCCTGCGGGCTAGGGACCCGCGTGTCTGCTCTCAGCCCTGGAAATGCCAGCAAACAAAGGAGGGCATCAGCTTCCCAACACCTCTTCTTCCAAAATATATCATGTTAATGCTGACAGCACCTCTCCCCTTCATGCTTACCAGCCTTATGGTGTCTCTGTGTGAAGGGTTATTGCAAGTCTGTGTGTCACTCTCCTTTTCAGCATCTTCCTTATTTTCCGTCCTGTGTTTCTTTTGCAGGCACAAAAGGAAACTGAAAGCCATAGTGGCTGGCTCCACTGGTGAGCAGTGTTTGGGGTGTCCCAGCTGCATGAGAGAGGGGGTGCATGGAGAGCACAGAGGGGGAACACAGGGAGAGCAGGGGATGCATCAGCAGTGATCCTGCCCAGCGAGGCGTGATGGTGGGAAGCTTTTCCCAGCATCCAGGCTTTGCATTATCAGCCACATCCCTGAGTGTTTCTCACACCACTGGTGCCTTTTTGGTTGCACAGTTTTCCTCCCTGGTAAAGAAGTGTCACGCTGTGATTTGCTGCTCAGCCCACTGACGGGCTGTGCTGTAACCGCCGTCCCTGCCTTTGCAGGAAACAGAGGTTTCATGGACATCATGGACATGCCAAACACTAACAAGTACTCCTTTGATGGGTGAGTGCTTCCCTTCCTCTCTAATGGGCAACCTCTTGGGGTTGCTGACCGCTCCCAAGAGCAGCCAGAGGCATTTGGAGGTGGAGACGTGATGTCCTGCTGCTCTGCTCTGTCTGGAGTGCAGCTCTGGCCCTGGGGCACGTGCTTGTCTTGAGAGCTTTCAAAGCAAAAAAAGCTTGTGCTTTCTCCTGTGACTCCATCTCTGCCAATCCTGGCCAGGTTTGGGGCAAGCAGAGACGATGAGCAGGTGTTGGCACACATCTGGATCCAGAGCAGCCGAATTCCTATCTGTGCAGGGCAGAAGGAGGCAGCACAACCTCAGTATCTGGGCTCTGGATGGGGTTAGGGGTACTGCTGCTCTTTGCCTGCGCTGATGGCTGTTCCTCTCCTCTGGGCAGGGCCAACCCAGTGTGGCTGGACCCCTTCTGCAGGAACATGGAGCTGGCGGCACAGGCGGAGCACGAGGACGACCTACCCGAGAACCTGAGCGAGATCACAGACCTCTGGAACAGCCCTGCCCGCACCCACGTGAGACACGGCCCCCGCCAGGACACATCTCCCCACGCCTGTCACCTGTGCCACCTCCTCAGCTGCTCTCTCCTCCTGCAGGGGACCTTCGGGAGAGAGCCTTCGGCAGCCAAGCCCGAGGACGACCGCTACCTGCGCGCAGCCATCCAGGAGTACGACAACATTGCCAAGCTGGGGCAGATCATGCGGGAGGGACCCATCAAGGTGAGTGTTGGGTGCAGGCATCCCCCACCGAGGGGTCTTCTCCTACTGCTACACCTCCCAGGTTTGCAGCGGCGGTGCCCGAGGGTGATGTCGCTCCAAAAACTGCTGGCATGAGGCCAGCCTCCCTCCCATCAAACTGTGTCCCCTGGGTAACCCCACATCTCTCCCCCTCCACCCAGGGCACTCTCCTGAAGGTGGTCCTGGATGATTACATGCGCTTGAAAAAGCTCTTTGCCCAGCGGATGGTGCATAAGGCCACCGCCAGTCAGGGGGACCGCTCCTCGGTCTCGGAGGTAGAGGGGTGTGCGTGGGCATGGGGAGGTGCTTGCCGTGCCCTCTGGGATGCAGTGTGTCTTCCCGGTCCCACAGGCTGCAGTCACTCCACGTGGCCTCGATCCCCATCACCCAGTGGTCCCCCCATTCTCTGCTTGGCCAAAATGAGCCAGATGTTGGTTTTCCACTGAGGCTGCTGGTTCCCCACAGCGCCCCAGCTCTCTTGACCCTCTGTGTTTCCTCTGAGCATCAGCAGCACCTTCTTCCCTGGTCTGTCCCTCCTGAAGGAGGATCCCTCCTCTTTGTGGGGTGTCCATCAGGTGTCCATCAGCTGTCCATCAGCTCTTCACCTCTGCCAAGGCTGGCCAAACTGGGGGGGAACATCTTCCCTCCCTTCTGCTCCTCTGAGCCTGTCAACCCAGCAGGTTTTTGAGGCAAAAAAGGTTGGGATGGAAGGTGGTGGTGTAGGAAGACTGGTGTGGGGAGAAGCAAGTCCTTCTGCAGCCTTCCACTCCTTCATGGAGGGCAAAACAAGGGGCAAAGAGAGCAGAGGAGAGCAGTGGGATGGGAGATGCCTTTCAACCCCTCTGCCTTCCACCATCCATGTCTTTATCCCCCTCCAGCACTTCCAACTCCTTTTCCTGTCTGCCTTCTGCCCCACCACCCTCATACAACCCAAAATCCCAGCCTGGGTCCAAACTCCTCCTTGGCCACTGCGAGGGCTGCTGCAGGACACAACCCAGCTGGTGGCCAGTGCCTGGGCTGGGACATCCAGCCAAGGGTTGAGTGACCCAGCTGGAGATCATCTCCTGGTGATCCTCATCACCACGCTCTGAGGGTGCTTCAGAAGAGGAGGGCCCATCCCTCCTGGACTCCAGCATTGCAGGAGGTTTGGAGCCAGGGGATCCAGGAGCTACTCTGGCCACGGCGGTGATTCTCCCACTCCATGGCTCTTTTGCAGCTGATCCAGAAGGAGCTGGAGGAGGAGGAGGAGGAGCGCAGTCCCAGCCAGGGCAGCCTCCGCTTCCGACACAAGCAGCCGGTGGAGCTGAAGGGTCCCGACGGCATCCACGTAGTGCACGGCAGCACGGGCACGCTGCTCGCCTCCGACCTCAACAGCCTGCCCGAGGACGACCAGAAGGTGCTGGGCCGCTCGCTGGAGACTCTGACCGCTGACTGCGGGGGCTACAGCGACCACAATGCCCGCACCGAGTCGGCCAAGTCCACCCCCCTGCACAAGATGCGGGAGGTGATCATGGAGAGCCCTCTGGAGATCACTGAGTTATGACGAGCGGCGGTGGTGGCAGTGGGGGTGGTGGTGGTGCTCCTCTAGGCAAGCCGGGGCCGGCAGGGATGAAGCACAGACCAGGGGGGCCGTGGTGGGGGCCAGGGGCACCCCGAGACCGGTGCTTGGCCCCCTCTTCCCCTGCAGAAGGAGTCCAGGCTAACCGGTGCAGATCGCTCCAGCAGCCTCGGAGAGCTTGGCCCCGGGAAAGGGCTCTCAGGACCGGAATGCTTTTACTCGCCTGTCATTTATCCATGAAAGCATTAAATTTTTTTTTATTTTTCTTATTAAAACAAAGGAAAAAAAAGGGGTTTTTTTTTAAAAAAAAAAAAAGGAAAAGAAAAGCTAAACGAATCCAATGAGTTCAAACGGACCGGGGGGGAAGGTGCAGTGAGGATGGGGATGGTGTGCTACCGCAGCATCCCTGGGCCCAGGCTGGGGACCAGCAGCTGTTACATCTCGACCACGAGTGTGGGGAGAGCCAGGGCAGTGTGGGGAGAGGCCGAGTCCTTTTTGGCATTAACGTCACCTTTCTGGGAAGGAAAGACCCAAAAAATAAAAAAAAAAATTATTAAAAAAAAGAAAAAAAGAAAAACAACAAACCGAAGACATTTCTCCATTTTGCTGGCTTTACCAAAACTTGTTGCAATGTCAAAAAAGAGAGAGACTGACAATAACTGGGGCTTCTGGATGTGGAGTGCTCGTGCGTGTCTTTTGTTGCCCTTTTCTTTCCCCCTCTCTCTTGCGTTTGGGTTTGTTCGTTCGGGGGTTTGTTTCCAGTCGTAACCTTGTGGAGAGTTTCGGGCACGGTCTGTTACGGGACTCAGAAATACACTGTCTATGGCTTTGGGTAACCTGTGTGTCGTCCTTCCTCCCCAGATCCATCACACCCAAATCCCCTTTCAAAGAGAAAACCCGCTTACCCTTAATTCACCCCTTCAGTTCATCATCTTCACGAGGTGCTGTGCTGGGTGTTTCTGTGCCTTGGATTTTAGGGTAAGCATTAAATGTCCTCCGGGTTTACCCACACCCCCAGCACAGAAAGGAAGGAGACAACCAGCCAGGGTCACGGGAAGAGTTTATTTGTGATGAGATGCTCCCGTGCATGCTCAGGACCAGGCACTGCAGGCGTGCCCCCACTATGGTGGGGAGGGACGAGCCAGCACCCCGCTGCCCCTCACCACCACAGCTGGGCCAGCACAGAACCCTCCACAGGAATGGATGCCTGGAAGTAAATCTTTGCACCCAAACTCACTCATTTCATGTTCAGGAGATACTTAGTATATATGATATATACAATATGTTTATATATTAAGTATCCCCAGATCTGTGGCATGAGGCTGCTGCTGGCCTGGAGCAAGGGGCCTGCGTTTGGGCAGCAGAACCCAGTGCAGCCCACACGAACGGCTCCACATTGCAGGATCTGGTTCAGGGTGGGATGGGGCTGGGGATAGAAGTGGGGATGGAGATAGGATTGGACATGGGGATTTTTACACCCTGAGAGACGTCAAGGGTGAATCCCCAATCCTGAAAATACTAACGAGTCCCTTAACCTGATCTGGAAATCCAAGCCCCGGGGTGGAAAAGGAAGTGGCAGAGGCAGCTGGGGTTCCCCACAGCCTTCCTGCCATTGCCCTCCATGGGTGCAGGCACGTCCCAGGGGAGGGGAGCCAGGATCCTGAACCAAACGGCAGAGGGAGTCCAGCTGGCTGGGGAGATGGCTCCTAGTTCCATATGTGACGCCGGCAGTGTGCGACAGCCTGTGGGAGAGATGGGGAGGGAGGGAAGTGGGATGCAGGGACCCCCCAGCCAGCAGAGTGGGGGCACGACTGACACTTACATTGCACTCGACTGCGGTGGCCATGTTCTTGCACCAGTAGCGTGGGCCCCAGGCACAGGGGTCCGAGCCCAGGAGATCCTCCTTGCGTGAGTCGCACGCTCGGATTTTCTGCGTTGCGAAGGAAAAGGGTGAGAGGGAGAAGAAAAAACCTGCATGAGCACCCTCTGACCACCCCCTGCCCCTCTCCCATACCCCGAGGCTTGGACAAAAGGTGCCCATCTTGGTCTGTGCTACCCCAGGGATGAGGACACTTACAGTGCAGACAAAGGTGGGGTCCATCATCTGCACGAAGAGCCGCACGGCCGCGGGCTCGTACTGCAGTATGAGCGCTTCACACTGGGGAGGAGAGAGGGGGTGAGCCCAGGGGGGTGTCAGGCGGTCCCTGCCAGGCAGGGTGTGCCCCCCTCAGCTCACCTTGCTGGTGAGGGGCATGGGCAGCATCTCACAGCCCTTCTCCAGCACGTTGCCCAGCTCCTCCAGCGTCTCGTTCTTCAGCAGCTCATTGTCAAAGTAGGTGATGACAATCTGACAGACGTTGCAGAAGGCACCCGCGCTCACCGCCAGCTGCTCCAGCGGGGCAGCCCCTGGAGGACACGGAGCATCAGCACCCACCTTGCTCCCCAGGGTGGGAGTGGGGTCTGGGTGCCAGGCGGGTCCCCCAGCTCACCCAGGAGGGTGTCCCCGCCGCGGGGGCAGCAGTGCAGCATGGTGCACACGGCGGCCGGATCGGTGGCCTCCAGCAGCATGATCACCACGGCTTTGCCGTAGGAGTTGACGAAGTCCTTGCACTGCCCGATGACGCCGTGGGGCAGCATGTAGCACACCTTTTCAATGTCATTCACCAGTTGCTCCTGCCGGGACAAGGCAGAAGAGGGAAACCCCCACTCCTCAATGCCCTTTACCCCCCTCAACTCAGCCCTCCTGCCCTCAGAGCACAGCAGTGGGACTCACCTCCGTCATGTTGTTCTCCAGGAGGCTCTCAGCTGTCCTCACAGTGAACTGGCACACCTCACACAGCGGAGTGTTCCCCACCCTGTCCTGTCGGGACAAGGTGGTGGGATGCATGCCAAGCCCCCTCAGAGCCACCCTCATCTTATTCAGCCGTCAACCCCCATGTAAGACATTCCCCGCCTTGGAAAAATGGAGATGCTTGAGGAAATAAAATGCAAAATAAGGTTCCCCCTTCACAGTGTTTAGATTTTAAGGAGCGTGGCAGAGATGGGGCACCCCACTTACCCCCAGCATGCTCAGAACCTGTGTCACCTTCTCCGTGAGCAGCGTGTGGAGGGGCAGTGCCGAGGTGGAGGCACAGAGTCCCAGCTGGCCACACAGTTCCATCGGGTCCTGGGGAGGGAGACATCCCAAATCAGGTGGGCATTGCCCCCCGGGAGGGTGAGCCTGCACCCTCCACTTCCCCATGGAGGGAGATTTCAGCCCATTAGGGCATGGGTCTCACTTACCTCAGCCTGCTGCCGGTGGAGGGGCCAGAAAATGGCAAGAAAAAATGAAAAGAAAGAAGAATTATGGTGGTCGCAAGCCAGAGAGAAGGGGGGTAAGATATTTTAAATTTTGTGGGAGTTTAACTTAAAAAAGGGAGCATTTGCTGATGAGCCCCCCCACCCCTCAACCAGCACCCACTCACCCCTGGCACCCCTGGAGAGCCGCTCACCCTCTTACCAGGTACCGCAGGAGCTGCGCGGTCGTGTCCACGTACTCAGCCAGGTAGTGCTTGCACTGTGAGAGGGAGACATGGCATCAGTGCCTGAGAGAGGACGCCCCACCTGGGCAGGCATCTGCAAAAGATGCTCCCATCCTGCAGTGAAATCGAGGAGGAGGAGGAGGAGAAGGGGGCCCACCCCTGGAGTGTTCAAGGCCAGGTTGGATGGGACCCTGAGCAAACTGGTCTAAGTGGCAGGTGTCCCTGCCCACAGCAGGGCGGTGGAACTGGGTGGCCTTTAAGGTGACTTCCAACCCAAACCGTTGTGGGATTCCCTTACCTGCTGTGCCAGAGCAGGGCTCAGGCCCTCACACACCCACTCAGCACGGGCCACCAGTGTCTGGGTGAAGGCAATGTTGGCCCCCAGCTCCAGCTGCACGGCCGCCACCAGCTGCAGGCAGTCCCCACACACCTCTTCCATGTCCTGCAAGATACAGGGACACATCAGTACCTTCTGAAATAAAACCAACCCCTCCCCAATGCCTGCATTTTCAGGGCTGGGATTTAAATGCTGGTTGCAATTTGGGGCAGGTCTTTGGCCAGCATCTCTCTGGTTCCCCTTGCATCCTGCAACATTCTCCAAATTGGTGAGACTCCAATCAGAAATCATTTCAGATGTGCAATAGTTTTAATTTTATTTTTTTTTATTGTTAATAATTAGGTGATGCTTAGGGATTCTCACCCTTGAGCAGCATCAAGACAATGGCACAAGTTGTCCAGGGAAACTGTGGCTGTCCCATCCCTGGAAATGTTCAAGGTCAGGTTGGATGGGGCTTGGAGCAACCTGGGCTAGTGGAAGGCGTCCCTGCCCATGCCAGGGGGTTGGAATGAGATGATCTGTAAGGTCCCTTCCAACCCAAACTGTTCCTTAATTCCATGATCAGTAGCATTCTTCCTGTGCCATGGTACCTGGGCCTCCCCACGAGGCAGGTCCTGGGGATAGAGCAGGAGGGGCACGTTGGCCATGAAGGGGGCGACCAGGTCAGCGAAATCCTGAGTGGGCCCTGTGGGAGCTGTTGATGGCTTCTGAAACTTCAGGGTCCCCGTGGGTCTCTCCCGGGGCTGGCACAGCCTGATGGTCCCACACACCACCTTTGGGTCCGACTGGGGGAGCAGAGGGGTGGGGGTTTGAGGTTGCATCTGCCCCATCACCCTGCTCCCCCTGCTCCATCCCTGGGTCATTTCCATCCCCATCATGTCCTTCAGAGGGTTTGTCCCAGGCTCCAAGAGCCTCCTTTGCTCTGCAAGCCCCCAAGACATCCCAAACCACTGAGAAACACAAACCCAGGGGTGTCCCCTGCCAGTTACCAGCACTTGTTTGCCCAGTTGGGCAAGGATGAGGATGCCGGTGTCCACCATCCTCTTGCACTTGACAGACCAGTCCTGGAAGGGCAGGTACTGGCATCTTTTATCCAAGAAGAGCCTCAGCTTTTCCTGCATGACAAACGGAGAGCTCAGGGCCTCAGTGGTGGTGGTGGGGAAGAACAACAGCCCTCATCCCCTTCCCGGCCGTGACCCACCTCAGTGCGGTTGTCCTGCAGGATCTTGCCCATCACGGAGACAGCCACCTGGCACAGGTGACATGGAATCCCCTTCTGCTGAGAGAAAGGGGACATGTCAGGATGCTATAACAGCACCCAGACCCACCACTTGCTCCCAGGATCCCAAGCCTCCACCCCTAAAAACACCCCACCAAGGGACACCTGGGAACGTCCTGGGACGCCCACTGATTTTTTTGCCACTCATTCCGCGGACGCGTTGCTGTCTGAGGGCATCAGATGCTTCTCTGGGTGCCCAGCATTGGGACGGGCAGCTGGGATTCTCCCCCCAGCTCCATGTTTTGTGGCACTTCTCCCCCACCCGCCCAGCTCCCCTGCTCCCAGCACGGTTACCCCCAGGGCCTGGTCCCAGGCGGTGAGCTGGCAGAGCTCCAGGGCCCCACACTTGGCCGCGGTGGTCACGTCGCGGCACCAGTCCTCCGGCCGCTCGCCACACTCGTGGAGGGGGCTGGCCCCGGCTGGGGGTGGGGGAGAGGAGACTGTCAGCCCACAAGGCACCCCGAAACACCAAACCAACCTCCCCATCTGCACCCCAGTGAGCTAAGAATTATGCTCCTCACCCTCCCGCTGTGATTCCCCCTCAGTTCCAAAAACGGTGGTGCGGTTGTTTGGTTTATAAATGATTTTTTTAAAGCCCAACAAACGTCGGCTTTGCCAGGCCACTGTCTGCTGCTAGCTTTTCCAATGGGATGCCACAGCGTCACAAGCAAAGGGAATTTGGGGCTCATCCTCAGCCTCATGGCACCCTTTGACAGGTTGCAGAGGCGGCTGCTTATAAAAGCGGCAATAAAACCTTGAAAATTGAGCAAACCCGGGGTGCCAGCGCTCAGCCCCGCACGGCAGCTGGATAGCCACGCCACAGCTCCCAGCAGTGATTGTGCAACCCCACTTTTGGTGGGGTTTTGTTGTTTCTATTTCCTCCCGACGACAGCATTTTCTCCTGACGGCAAATCCCCGGCAGGACAGCGGCGGCATCGCCCTCCCGAGCCGCCCCGGCAGCGCGGGGCAATGGCGCAACACCGGCCGCTTAATTGTCACCTTGGTGTGTCAGGACTCATTTCTGATGGGGCGAGTGCTTGTTCCCACCGGGAACTATGCCCACCCGTGATGTGGCTGGGGCGGAGCCGGCAGAAGCCAAGCCCTTCGCTGCCTGGCTGCGCCGGGAAGCTGGGGTTGTGTGGGGAGCAGCACATGAGCAAGAGGGACAGACAGACCCTGCTGCAGACTCTCTTTCAACAACCCCTCTAAACAAAGCACAACTCCACACTCTCTGAGCATTTGCATCCAGCTTTTCTGCCCCAGCCCTGGCCATGTGATTTTGCACAGCAGGAATAAAGCCAAAGGCAGAAACTGCTCCTCCAACCCACCCAGCCCTTAACAGGTTTCTCCTCCAAAAGTTGCTTTTCCTGCGTGCTGGATTCTGGCAACGCCTTCAGCTCATTCACGAGAGAGCAGCGTGAGATGCCCTGGGCCACCCTGGAAACCTCACCTTGAGTACTGTGTGCAGTTTTGGGAAACACAGTATAAGAAAGATATTTAAGCCATTAGAGAGGAGGCCCCCCATTTAAGCCAAAAGAGGCCACAAGGATGGAGAAGGGCCTTCAGGGGAAGCCGTATGAGGGCACTTGGCCTGTTCAGCCTGGAGGAGACAGGGGAGACCTCATTGCAGTTACAACTTCCTCATGAGGGGAAGGGGAGGGGCAGACACTGATCTCTGCTCTGTGGAGACAGGACCCCAGGGAATGGCCTGAAGATGTGTCGAGGGAGGTTTAGGTTGGATATTAGAACAAGGTTCTTCCCCCAGAGGGTGGTTGGGCACTGAACAGGCTCCCCAGGGTAGTAGTCACAGCACCAAGGCTGGCAGAGCTCAAGGAGTGTTTGGACAATGTTCTCAGGGACATGGTGTGACTCATGGAAATGGTCCTGTGCAGGGCTGAGGGTTGGACTCAATGATCCTTGTGGGTCCCTTCCAGCTCAGCATATTCTGTAATTCTGTGGAAAGTTGCTGGAGATGGAGGAGGCAGGGAGCCCCCTCCATCCCACCTGCTCCCAAAAGCGCTGGCACAGCTCGGCAGGTGCCGGGGGGTGGTCCAGGCCCATCAGGCTGAGGCAGCACTGGGGCAGGCGTGGGCCCCGGGGCAGGGTGAGTCCCCCCGGATTCCCACACTGCCCACACACCTCCCCAGCAGTGTGATGCTGCCCTCGCCCCATCAGCTGAGAAGGATCTATTTATTTTTTTAACCCTTGCTCTTGATCAGGGCAAACAGGAATGGCAAGTCAGCGGAAGCATTAAGGGGCAGCACCAAAACCAAGGAGAGGGGAGGCAACAACCCCACAGCTTTTTTTCTGAGCTGGCTCCACCTAACACAAGGCATCTCTCGCAGCCCCGTGTTGGAGTCCAAACCCCAGCAGAGGCATGGGGGGATTTGAGCAGTCTAAAAGACACCAGTGGCTTGGTCCTGCACTTTTCTGTCTCACAGTGACCCTCAGCTTGGCACTTACTCCTCACCCTGCTCAGGCAATAAGCACTGAGCCAGAAAAATAATTAAGACTAATCACAGCTACCAACTGCTGAGAGCAGGGGGAACTTCCCCAGGTGGAAATGACTGCCACAGGGCAAGCAACCAGGGCAGCTGGTGCCTCGTGAGCTCTCCTCTACATTTCAAAGCCGTGCTGGACCCACCTCACACTGATGAGCAGCCAGGAAGAAGGACAGTAGACAATGCCATTTTTGGCAGAGGAGTGAGGCAGGGATGCTCTCATGCCCCTCTGGTGATCCCAGGCCAGTCGCGACTGCCCTATTCCTGGCTGCCAGGCCCCTGGGATGGGGTGGGCTTTTCTCAGGGGGATCCAGCACCAAGCTCCAGATCCAGCAAGGCTATGCCAGCATTACGTGGAGCCTCAGAACGTGCCGGCTGAGCCGGCAGAGCCTGGTGAGCCGGTTGTGACGTAAACCCCGGGGGTGGCAGCGTGGGCCCTGGTGCCCCAGTTCCTGGCCTGGTGCACACCCTTGTTACTGCAAAAACCATAAATACACTCTTCCCAGCTCCAAAACCCTTCTCCAAGGCCTGCAGAGGCCCCTGGTCCCACAGCACCACTGTGCCATGCAGCCAAGCCACGACCGGGTTCCAGGGCAGGTGTCACCCCAAGCATGGACATGCCGAGCACAGGCGAACTTTCCTGCTCTGCCTGTTGCTGGCTGAACACCTGGACACGTCCCCCCCAACCCTGCGGGTCACGCGTGCGCAGTCACAGCTCCTCCACCACAAGGCCTGGGCAAGTCACGTTGGAGGAGTCTGGTGAGTAATCAGGGTGCAGGAGGGGTTCTTCCCTCTGAAAGGTGGGGGTTTTGCCTACTACAGCAGGGCTCCACAGCTTCCTCTGAGAAATTTTCCCTGGAATAAGTGATTTGCCCTCAGGAAAGGACCTGAGGTTAGAAACAGGTTTTCCCTAGCTCGTTTCCTGGGGACGGGCTGGGGGATGGCTAAGGGACAGCAGCATAGGTTTGCCTGCAGGAGGATTCACTCACAGATACCCAAGTCCCAGCAATGAGAGATCTCCAGTGGTGAGTAAGGCTGCAGCATGTCACCCATCACCCTTCCCAGAGCTGGGCAAGCCAGAGCAGAGGCAGGTTCCTACCTCCCACTCCTTGTAAAAGGCTTGTCAGAAAACGGGCAGCTTCAGGTGGTACTGTGGTCACTCTTGTGACAACCAGGTGGTTTCCCCAGCTCACACATTGGCAGCCAGGCCCCAAGACCAAGGGCAGCAGAGAGAACAGCCCCTGACCCCCTCGGCTGCTGAAACAACCCAGCACTTGGCTTCCCTCCTTCCCGACAAAACAACAGCTCCACCTGAATCTCAGAGAAGGGAGGGAACAAGCCCCTTTTTGCACTGAGATCAGCTTTAAGGGCAAACATTCCAACACTCACATCCAGGTGCGTAGAGCAGCCCATGATGTCACCTTCCCCAGCTCTCCTCTGCCCAATTCCAACAGCATAGAGGAACAAGAAAGCACATTACGCAGCTTAGACACTACAGCTGGGAATAGTTTTGGAATTCAGAGGGGATTTCTGGGTAGGGAGACCTACCCCCAGGCCTGGCCTTACCTTGGTAGGAGCCCAGGCACACAGAAACAATCAGCACCCAGCCACTCCATTTGCTCTCCATGCCGTTCCTAAGATAGTCCTCAGTGGCTGGTTCCTCTCCTATGCTGCTCCCAGACTGAGGAATCTTGGAGGGGTTGGGAGAAGCAGTGAGAATCCACACCTACGCAGGGCAATTACCACACCCCTTGCCTTACACCTTGATTATAAAATCATCACCAGGCTGTAAAGAGAGGGAGGGACCAGAGGTATTCCCGGGAGGTCAAGAGCCCAGAACCTGCTGCTCAACACTAGCCTGGGCTGCAGAGGGTGGGCATGGACAGGGAAAATCATCCTGGAGCCATGGGACAGCACCACGTTCCCTGTATTTAAAAGGCATTTATTTTATTTCTAACAAAGCAAGGGAGGAGGACAAAACGGAAGCCCCATTAAGTGCAAGTCAGCAGGGAAGGCCGGTATCAAGCAAGTGCCTCGTCCTGCGCAAGGCAGGGATTGCAACACGGGGCTGTTTCCTCACACCAGGCGTTGTGTTTGTCCAGGGAAGAGCAGCAGCAATCCCAGGCAAGCCTCTTCCACCTCCCACCACGCTCAGCAGAACAGAGAGGCTTGATAGGACACGTAGCCTGCAAGGCAACAGCATCTCAATGGGAACCTGAACCCATTCAGTCCCAGATTCCCAGTGACACCTTGCGATGTGGCTTCTCTCTTGGCTCTGCAGCCAAGGGGAAGCTAAACAAGATCCTTTGGCAACCAACACGCGAGGAATTGAAGCACACAGTCTTACCAGTTTACAGAAGTTTTTATTGTTCATTAGGGAAGCTTTTGTGCAAAAAAAAAAAATATCAAGACAATGTGTTTTGTTTTTTCAGAAAGCAACTGCACGTTCCCCCAGCACGACTCAAGCGGGTCAGGTGCCACAGTCCACAGGAAGGAAGAAAACTACAGGGACTCCCAGTGGCAGCACAGGATTTCCCCAGCTCACCTCACCCCGCAGCTCGCCAGCATGGATCCCCCACTGCTAAAAAACCCCAGAAAAATAAAACCTTCCCAGCCTGTCCAGCTGCCAATGCAGCTCCACCTCCCCCCCATTAGATCCACGTTAAGAGAACACTGTCCCATTTAAAACACCAAATACCATCCTACCACACCGGGGTGTAACACAACCCCATCCCTCCAGGGCAGCGATGCCAAAGGAAGAGCCCATTCCCTATCTGCTGTATCTACCCCAACTGGGATACACCACCAGAACACTGCACAAGCCTGCCAAGACAGAAAGCTGCAGGTATTTTATATCTTTAGGGGAAATTTTCCTTTTTATTTTCTTTTGAAGCATTTTCTTTTCTTTTGAAGCATTCAGCAAACAGAAGAGACAAACCTCTGTTGCCATCTGTCAGCACTGCCCAGGCATTTAGTATGTACAGAGTAACTAAAAACCTGCACTCCAGTGGTTTTCCAATGAAAAACAGTCTGCTTGCTGCTACAGTTTTGTTACTGGAGCTCCTGCTCATCCCAGACACCACAGAAACAGCAGGAGTTAGCAGCATCTTTCTGAACAGGACTGGAATTTTCAAAGCTCCACATCTGCCCAGCTGCTCCTTCCCAAAGGTCTCCTCAGAGCTACTTTGGTGCCTCCATTTTGGGGGTTTTGATCCAGTGTTTTGGGGATTAACTTGATCAGAATTACACACCAAATCCAAGGTCTGTCTCAAGCAATACAAGATTCTCACTCCCAAGTGCCTGACATGTTCTCAGGGAAGCAGCCTGCCTTGAAGGGCTTTTTTGGGGGATTTCAGGCATTTCAATGGAATTTTAGAGAGGTGTGAAAGGCAGGCTGTGAGGTGTGCCAGCAGAGCTTCCAATACCTACTGCAGTGTTCCTACCATTTGCCATCTCTACTTGCTGCACTTCCTCAGGAGGGGGTCAGTGAGAACAGGTGGCAGCAGGGGAAACTGCCCCCGAGCCTCACAGCACCTCTGAAGTTTTAGATGACTGAAATATGCTATGAGAGAAAAAGCAGATCAAGGAACAAATGGGCAGTTTACAATAAGCCCCATTTTTCCACACATTCCACCCTCGATGCTGAACTCCCTTTGACATGTGCACAGCTCCTGCTGACTTGTCCCTCCTCCATCTCTCAACTCCTCGGCACCCAGCCCAGCTGCATGTGGGAAGCTGCAAGACTAAGCAGAATTGAGCAACTAGGATATGGAAAAAAAGGGAGTCATTCCTTAAGTACATCTGCATGCTTCAAAGGACTGACATCCCACTGAATAGGGCTTGGCAGCAGAACACCCATGCTTAGACCCGGGAGCCCAAGGAAATCAAAAGGATGTGATCAAAGGTCGAGGGAGGGTTTTCCTCAGCTATGACAACACCATGAGCCACAAGCGTGGTCGCTCCAATGCAAAAGCATGATCACTCAAATGCACCTCTTTAGGTTACCAGTGACTTTGAAAGGTGGCTGGGCACACAAAGCCCCCTCCTCTGCATCTGTAGAGCTTTGAAAATTCCAGCCGAAGGGATTCCCGGATTCAACATTATCCCTTAAGAGTTCCCATACACCGAAAATTAACATTCCAGCCAGATGTTAAAAATGCAAAGCATGTAAAATCTTCCCAATGCTCCCCTACAGAAAGACACTTGAAAGATTAGTCGCTACCCTGTCCTTTTTTTAAATTAAAAGATAAGAGCCTTGTCTCATTTCATCTTCTCTGTCATTCTTCCCAGCACCTAAAAAACACTTCAGCCTACCAATTAAAAAAAAAAAAAAAATCTACAACACACTGACTATTTTTAGGAGCATAACGAGTTAAACTGTACAATCAGAAATATCTTTGTTAAGTCAATGATGAAGATCTGATCCTTCAACAGCAGCACTGCTACAGAAGAGTTACAATAAAGGAACTTGAAGGTCAAATTGTTAACGAGGCAGAGAGGAGGGACAGGTGAGATACAGCTCTCTGCCAACCTCGGCCCACATGTTTTAAGAGCCATGGCAAACTTTCAGAACTGGAAATTCTTCTTCTAGTTCCACACATGGCGTTTGCAGTGATCAACAGCCTAAAGGGAAAGCAAGAGTTGATGTTAGTGGAAAAGAGCCTGTTTGCAAACCAGCGTGCATCTACACAATTCAACACCTGATTCTGAGCCAAGATCTCAGGAGCAAATCTGCTTTTCTTAAAATAAGTGATTTTGAAATGGACTAGAATAAATAATATCCTCGTCCCCACCCAGAAGCTTCAGGAAAGAAGGCTGATGACCCTTAGCCACTAAAGCCTGGCAGAGAAAGCAATGCTGGAAGCCAATATTTAGAGCTTGATGAGAGATCATGAGACATGGTCTGTTTGCTGCAGGACCACTGACTACATATAAAGCTGACACTGTACTTTACTATAAATTCTGAAATACCAGCAGGCAGGTGGGGATAGGAACAAAATGTAGAGGAAAGTCAGCTTTGAGAAAGCTAAAGCCTATGAAAGACCCTCTAATCAAGCCAGCACCCTACTGCTTTTTTAAACTGGAATATACCTACTTCCAAGTGTGGTAGAACCTGAAAGTGGCCATTAAGGAGCTATCAAAGATCAATAGGAAGCTCGAGGCAGAGCCCTGCTTTACGTACATTGCACTGAGCAGCAGTGTCCATGTTCTTACACCAGTAACCTGGACCCCAGACACAAGCATCGTCCCCCAGGAGAGGCTGTTTAGCTGATTCACAGACTCCGAGTTTCTGTGAAAAGAACAGCAAGAGAGAGTCAGCACCTTTCTAACTGCACCCTGAGATCTCAAGGCCATCCTTACACCTGAGTGAGTGTGGAAGCTCCACTGGGGTGGCTGCAGGAGCCCTCACGGAGGTCACAGCAGCAGCTGAATGACCAGCAATGAAGCTGGGATCTGACACGGGGAAGAATTAAGTTACCACAACTCCTTTTTCATATCAAGTTTCGAAAAACAGAGAGGGACTTTTCTCAAGAAGTGCCACTTAACCTCCCACCACATTCAGGGCACACCACACCCTGTCACTGAAGCTCAGCAGTGGCAGATCTTTCCTTTTGTCATTCCCTGCACTGGGCTGGCACTCAGCTGTCCATTGAGCCCCAGGCCTTGCACAACCACATTTGCTCCAAGCATTCAGTGTGCTGATTCTTATTCCAGCAGAGTTTCCATGTGCTGGGCACTGGAAGGCACACAGGACTGTATTAAAGCCTGCACTCAACCAAATCAAAGGCAATACTCACAGTGCAAACAAAAGTGGGATCCATCACCTCTGCCAGGAGTTGCACAACCACAGGTTCATACTGTTCCACAAACTGAACGCACTGTAACAAAGCACAGGTTGAGAGATTCTCCTGTTAGAGCCTCTGAAAGAAGAGGAATATGTGGTCTGCAGCAGGCAGGCTACCCCAAACACCTCAACAGCACACTCCAAAGGGATAAAGCAGAGGCCTGAGCTCTGCAGATGGAAAAGGACTCAGCATGGCACTTACCACACAGTTTTTTACCAGCTCATACCTGCCCGCAGCTGTCTGCAGACAGGTTATGAGGAGAGAAGGGAAAGGTCAAAAGGAAGAGAACCAAACAGGACAGACTTTGGGAAAAGAACCAAGCAGGAGAAGCTTTGACTGCAAAGCTTAGTCTCTGATCGTGGAGATCACTGCTGTCCCAAGAGGAAAGCACAGGGAACCAGCTGGAGACAAACATCCTGAGCAGGACAGCAGCAAAGCAGCAACAACTCCCAAGCACTTTTACCCAGGGAGTTCCTATTCTTTTCAGATCAGGCAGCAGCAGGAGCACTTCCCATCAGGAACAGTCTCTCTCCCTCTAGTGGAGAGGCCGTCTCCAGAGCTCAGGAAGATGCTGCTCTCAGCAGAGACTAAGGGCACCATTAATAAATCAAGCACAGCTATTAAACAGCCTCGCAGTAGGAGGAGCTGTTCCACAGCTGCTTTAAGTCTGTATATTCTATTGCTGGTAAACTTACAAGCAGTTGCCACTTGCTGGCACTCAGCAGCCACCTAATAAGATTTCCAGGTAAATCTTGATAGTGGTGGTCCCACAGGTGTCTCAGTGGAATTAAGCCAGCCTACTTCCAATTACTCCATTAATCCCCTGAACAGGATCAGTGTTGAGGGAAAAATAAAACCTTCAGCTGTTCCCACCCACTGTTCTCAGAGGATTACCAGGCAAACCTTTCCTGACTGCAAATTAGTACAACAATCCAGCCAATCAATTCAGGTCTTTAAAAGCCTCCATCTATTCAAAGGACTGCCAACTCCCAAGGATGGGAAGTGAGAAAACCCTCTGCACCCCAAACTTCTCCCAGCTTCTAGCTGAGAAGACTATTGTAAAAACCAACAAGAGATACTGCTCTCTAGTTTTCCCAAATGCTCTGCAAGATGCCTCTGCCCATGGGAGGAGGTTACAACTAGACAGTCTTTAAGGTCCCTTCCAACCCAAAGTGTTCCAAGACTCCATATTTCACCCTTCTGTTCACCTCCATCTGCCTTGTCCTGACTGGAAGGCAGGCTGCCACACAGCAAGGCCTGTAAGGTCATTCCACTGGCTCCGATCAAGCCTGTTCTCTCTTTTTTTGTTCTGCTGCACATTAGAAGCTGTTGTGCTAACAAAGGGGAAAAACCTGGGAAGGATCAGGTTGCTGGACAGAAGCCAGTCCCAGCTGCACCTGAGGACAGTTTGTCTCCAGCCATGGACAAGGCATTTGGCCAAACACAGAGACCTCTGTTATGAGTACCTGGTCATTTACAGCAGAAGTAGGGACACTTGAGAGATGGACCTAAAATTAGCATGTAGACAAAATATCAGGTGAAACACACAGAAAATGAGGTTAAGCATAACTGTCACTGTAGGACCCATGTAAACACAACAAATCAACAAGGACAGTTCCCAACCCTCAACAAGACCACTGCTTTTTAGTCAGCCTCCTGCCCAAACTCCTTACCTGATCACTGACAGACTGTGGCAGGAAGTGACACACTTTTTCCAGTAAAGCTTCAATTTCAGCTGTCGTGGCATTCTTCTCTAGCTCTTTGTCTGCATAAGCCACCACCATCTTGCAGATATCACAGAAGCCACCTGCAGGTTTCACTACAACTGAGAAGGAAAATAAAAACACAAACCAAACATCAGCACTTAGGTAGTTCCCCACCAAGTAGGAGGCAGCAGCCATCAGCAAAGTGTCCTCAAAAGAGATCTCATCCCAGGAGAACCGGCTCCTTTTGAACACCAGACTCCTCACTACCCACCTGGCTGCTGTGGAAGCTTGTTGGCTGCACAGCATTTCAGCATAACACACACAGCTTCGGGATTAGTTGCCTCCAAGAGCATGTCAATGACAGCCTGGCCATAGACCTCTATGAAGTCCTTGCACTGGTCTTTGACACTTCCTGGGAACAGGCGGCAGACCACTTCCATTTCATGCACAATCTCCTCCTGAGGCACAAAGGAGGGCGAGTGGCAAATGAGGGACAGAAATTTCATAAGCGTGTCTTTTCTGTCCCACCCAGAAGTTTTGCTGTCATGAAGACAGGCAATAAAATTAAACTTCCCTTCCCCCTCCAACACAGCCCCCTTTCAGCCAAAGCCTAGGAAGAGGTACCATGCCCACCACTTACACACCTCTGTCTTGTTGCTCTCCAAGAGGCCAGTCACTTCTTTCACCATGGTCTCGCATATTTCACACAAGGAAAAAGTTTTCTCTTGAACTGAGGCCTTCTCTTGAACCGAGGCCTTCTGAGTACACAGAAGAAACACACAAACAATAAATCAGCACTGGACCACACTTGACAGGGACAATTCCTGAAAGATCAGTTTAACAGCATTCACGTGCAGCACACTCCTTCACCTACAGCTGTACTCCAAAGGTCACACAGAACTCAAGCCCAACATCAAAGGTCTCAGTAAAAAGCCCTTCTGAATGAACAGGCACTTTGTATGACTAATTAAGACTACAATCCCCAGGCTGTATTAAAGGAGGGGAGTTGAATTTAGCAGACACAAAGAAAAAAGCAATTCTACAGAGACAGAAGTCAAGGGAAATATATAGTGGTTTTTAAAACACATTAACTGAGGACAAAATTTCCTAGAATTGAGAGCACCCTCCTGATTGCAAAGGAAACCTTTGGAGAAGCCAAGGCACTTCTTCAAACTCAGAACTTCAGCATTCTGACTCTGATCTGTCACCTGCACAAGCAGAGTGCTGCCCCATTATTAAAAGGGATCGAAGCATAACTTCAAACATAAAGCAAAACTCAAATTGAGCAATTCACATTTGAGGTGTCGTTCAGAACCGCTGGAACAAGAGTTCCCATTTCAATCCTGAAGCATTACCTTGTAGCTTTGGTTCAGTGTAGGCTCTGTTGTTCTAACAAATGAAACAGTTCTCCTACTTCACAAACCACCATCAGAAACAAGAGGAGGCCAGGAATTTATAGGCAGGGAGACTTGGATTATTCTGTGCATAAAAGCTCATATTTTTCTGTCAGTTTGTTACACTAAAGCAAAAAGGAAAGCAAAGCTGATAAGTACAAAAAGTCAATTTTACCTCCACAGTTTCCATTTTCACCTCATGAACCACTTGAGCTGGCACCAGAGGCTGAAGGGGGACAGACTTCACAGAAGCACAGAACCCAACCATGGCACAAATGTCCTTTGGTTGCTGGAAAAAGATGCATAAGCGATTTTTTTAAAGTCTAGAAGACTCTGCCCTTTCTACAGAGCCTGTGAGCAGGAACAGAGAACAAAGTTTTAAAAGGCTCCAACACAACCAGAAGTTTCACGACTACTTCTACTCCAAGTATTGCCAAAGCATTTGATATGGTTACAGGCAGGACAGCTACCAGGTGAAATTTAGTAGTTCCTTTTAAAGAGGAAGAGGTTAAAAACCTCACTTAAAAACCCCATTTACCATCAGCCACACTATGCAAGCCCTTCAAAAGGAGTTGACTTAAGAGCTACCAACACCAAAACAGGCCACCAGCGTCACTTAAGACCTGCATCCACAAAGCTGCTCCCCAGCTTTAAGTAATCACAAAGAGGCCAATTATCCTGACTTCAGAGTTCACCCAAAAGCTGAAAGAAATGCCTAGAAAAAAAAGACTTCTTTCCTCATCCACAAACTACCTTCTTTAAAGCTGCCAGTAACATCATGTTCTGCAAACAGAAACAGTTTCTCCCATTACTGAACACAGCCTACAAGAAACAAAAGTTAAGCTTGTTAAAACCTTAGCCTAACCATTTTTAGTGCAATAACTGTATTTCCAGTGTTCTTTTCACAGTAAGAGAACAGCAAACAGAAACAAAGTCTTTAAAAAGGCTTTCCAAGTCTTTCTCAAAGGTTTTGGAAGCATACACTACTAAATGCAAAAATAAATGCTGGACATGAGGCAAACTGCACTAAGGAGGCCACATGATACCCAAAGTGACAAAGGCTGTACAGAGCAAGACACAAAACTTGAATTTCCCCACCTGAAGTCTACTTAAGCTAAAAAAAGAGACCCTTGGTCCTACAGGTAATTAGAAGACCGTATCCCACCCTGTCACAAGCTTCCTACAGAAGAGGCTTATGCCAGAGTTAATACATCACATGCCACAACCTCATGCACAGGCAAAAGCAGCATCTCAAAGACACTGTGCTGCTTCAGACTACTCCAGGCAGCACCTTTAAGTCAAGCCCTTTGGTTCATGCATTGTAAGAAGCAATTCTAGATATTAATGTTACAGCAACACCCACATACACACATGTTCTCTCACTGAGAGATGACAGACACAAGGTCTCACAGGTCTGGGTGAATTAAAAGCCCAAATGGCTCTAGGAAGCAGGAGCCTAAAGGCCTCCCACATCTTTTCAGTTCATGTACTTTAAACATCTATACTGTTGTCCTAGATTTAAAGGTTAACCAAGAAGAGACCCCAGGACAGTTTTGCTCAACCCCCTCTGAGCCCAGACTTTAAGCCAGCAGCTGACAGGAGCCACTGGCATTGCTTTGTCCACATCTGTCCTTCTTCTAGGAGAGGGATCACATTTCCTGCTCTACTGGCCAAAGCATAATCAAGCTGAAATCTTCGTAGCACAAGCTGGTATCTGGAGCTGGAAGTAGGACTGATGCACTGGAAGAGGCCTAGAGTCTTTCTCTGTTTTAATGACATAAATATCCCTTGTATCTGTCAACACTGAGTACAGTCACACCATGTACACAGCTAATAGAGCAAAAAGTGAACTACAAGCCCTTTAACAGCAAAAGGTGAACTACAAGCAGGCTATCATCACAGGCAAGGTGCTCACATACCTGATCCTTCTGTTGACAGGGGAGATTGGAGACAGAGGAAGAAAGGAGAAATTAAAGATAACAGTTGAGAAAACACGTCAAGCACTTGGAACTGCACATATTCTTTCCATGAAGATAATGGCACATGACACAGTCCCCACCCCAAAGATCCTTAGCACTGATAACTCACATTTAATTGCACAGTGCTGACCAGCATTACTCATTTGCAGTTATTAAGGCATCCTGGGCAAAAGACTACCTCCAAAGAGTCTGGACAACACTCGGATGCAAGGTGTGGTCATAATCCAATTTCAGGTACTAACAACACACTGCATTACAATGCTCAAAATGAGAAACCAAGTGTTGCTAGAACAAAGATTGACTTCCCTCCCAACAAATGCTTAAGAAACAGGATGAGCTTCTAAGTAGCCTTTAGCAAGTGGAAACAAAAAAAGGCCACTGTGTTGCCAAATTCAGGTTCAAGTCGGCCACATATTCTACTCAGAAATTCACCTATAGTTTGTTATGTTACTTGTGGCATCTAGGGACTGCATCCCCTAGGAAAGGCTTTTTTGTTTGTTTGTTTTTAAGGTTGTGAGATCACAGCACATACAAAGAGGTGCTATGTAGGTGGTCAGAGGGAAATGTATGTTGCTGCAGAAGATCAGAGCTGGTGCAGTACTACTCCCTTTCCATGGGTCCTATCAGGAGCCCAGAGAGCAGGGGCCTCCAGATAGCAGCTCCAGGAGAAGGATGTTTAGTCTTGCTTCAGGAAGAAGCAACACTTGAACTGATTTTGCAACACTGTGACAGACAACTCTAATATACTCTAAGACTGGTGGGGAGGGGGGAAGTGGTGTAAGTACAGGACTGAGATAAAAAGAGTATAAAGGAACACGAGTAATGTATCTTCCACATTTCAAAGGATTCGAGTGCCTTTTGGACCACAGAAGTGAATTCCTTGTGAAACGAAAGGCAGTGCTAAAGAAAGCATTCTGAAACTGAAATCAGCATCCAATTAAATGCCAAGTTCAAAGCATCAACATCCAGACTTACAGGGCTCTCCCCAGAGCTTTACTGCAGTACGTGATCCCCGTTTCCAAAGAAGTTGGCTACACAAATCAGAAAAATTAACTGAGAGCAAGTACTATATTCTGCTGATCTTACCATGTGCATCATCATCTGGATAGCCAAGTCAGAATATTCAGAGACATAGGTCTTGCACTGCAGGAAGGGGGAAAAGAAAGTCTTGTGACTATCAAACCACTTGTGCTGTAGAGTTCATCTAGAACTTTCTAATACATCTCAAGGCATTAATTTACCTGCTCTACTTAATAACTATTCTGCTGTCTTTCAGAGCTTGACCCAAATACAAGACAGCATTTCAGGTTACACAATCACTTCACAAATAATTGCTTATCTGAGGAGTCCTTTTCTCTTCCACTCAGGGCAAAAAAGTCCTCCCCCTACTGATATGACCACATTACCCTGCCAGATTGTTTTGGTGAAAAAGGCCCTTAAGGGCTAGAAGCAATCTGGAGCATCCTTCTCCTCCTCCCCGGTCCCATACACCCCCCTCACCTTTCCTGACCATCAAGTTTATAATTTCAGTGTTACTGTCATACTATGTAACTATTATACCGTGTATCCTACACGGAACACAATCCCCTTTGTGTTATTAAATAGAGAATACAATAGAGGGGATTAAGGCCCTGAACAAACTATTTTGTGTTTGCATTCAGGAACAATTTTTTTTTCCAACTAAAAAGGACAGCTCACCATATCGGACATTCCGGGTCCCAAACGGTCACACTCCTCCTTGGCATGAGCAACCAAAGACTTCACAAAAGATGAGTTTGTCTTCACAGCTTCCTGAACATCAGTGACCAGCTGAATGCAATCCTGGCACACATCCCCACTCGCCTGGACAAGGAAGGAAAGGAAACCGAAATTGACGTAACTTCTCATAACATGTTTTAGAAGCTTCTGTTACTACCGAGTTCTACAAGCTATTTTGAGCTATTTACAAACCTTAGCAAATAATCTGTAGAATACTTTAAAGCCTGAGCTAATAGAGAGACAAGCTACTGCTGGTATCTGCACCAGCCACTAGATGGAGATTAGGTACATACTTGGCTTCAAAACCGAGATAACAGTTAAGATACCCAATCTTCAGCATCTCTTGGTTTTCTTACAGACCACAGCGGGAAGGTTTCCATATCTGGCATAGATCTTACCAGCTTCACCCACAGCAGCTTGTTCTGCACCCACACACTGTTTAACTCCCACACTCTGCCTTGCTACCAACACTCAGCCTCTGCTCCCAAGCTCATCGGCTCATCTACTCCCCTTTGTCAACTATTTGTTCAACTATTTGTTCTTTTCCGATCAACCTCTACATTCAGAGAGACAAATGCTTCCCCCAAAGGGCACAGCTGTAGAACTTAATCCAAGATTATACACAGGGTCCACACTGGAACAGCCCTGCACCCTTACCTTAGGCTTCTGCTTGGGTTTGTCCTGAGGGTAGAGGAGAAGAGGCACGTTAGCCATGAACGGGGATGCCAGTTCAGAGAAATCCAGCTCTGGAATCTTATTGGTCTGGAGCTGTTTCTGAAGCTTCATGGCTGCAAGGTGCTTCTGAAGGGACTGGCACAGGGCGAGGGCACTGCACACAACCTCAGGTTTATCCTAGGGGGGACAAGATACACTCATAAAGCTCCAAACTCACATCGCTTTTGTATGAAGTTTAGAGTCACTCAGCTGAAATGTGACAGACGGGGAAAATGTTTCACAGCAAGGAAGCAGGCTTCAAACTCACACTACTCACTGCAACACCAGTGATCCACACAGGATTGAAGGATCATATGCACAATCCCATGCAGAAGAGAAATTTGGGCATCATAGGAGCGTGACTTTTAAATCCAGTGGTTGAAAATTTTCTACTTACTAGCTCTTCTTTGATCATATCCATGATAACTGGTAGGTAGGAATCCACAATTTCTTTGCACTCAGACACCAGGCCTTGGTCAGGAAGAAACTCGCACGTCTTTTCCAAGTAAGAGCGGATCTCCTCCTGTGAAAGATGAGATAGGCATGGATAGATTATCCCTCTCTCAAATGCTCTTTCCATTGCCAAAATGCACAATACAAAGCCTAAAACAAGCTCCTTGGACTCAGATAGGTCCAGGCAGTGGGAAGCACAACTAGACTGAGGTTTTACACTGTAAGTCTATTTTCCCCAGTCCTGACCTTTGATGAGACCCTGTCAAAGTGAAAACATGCAATACTGCTTGCAAGGCCTTGCCAGAGTAGAACATTTACATTTAAAGAGGAGGAAGTGAAATTATGGACTAGGGGGACAGTTACTTGTTTATACAAAGTACTCACAGATTGGTAAAAGAAAAAGGGAGTAAGTGCCCTCAAAACCAAACAAAGACCAGTTGGTGTAATCGTCCACTTCTAGAGTCTGCAGTATCCCACCTTTTAAGGCTGATGGCCCATTGGCACAAGAACAATTTTATTAAGCACCAACAGTCAATCAGAGATGTGTTAAAGCATGAGAGGCTCTAGAATTTGCTAATTTCTAAACCAGTAGAGGCTGTTTAAAAGCCTTTTCCCTTTCAACATCTGCTGCTTATGTTAGTAAAACAACACAGCCAATTGTTCCACCCCCTCATCACGAGATCTTGTTAGATCCACGAAATCAAAGTGTGTTTTGGGGTGAGGAGAAAGGGAGCTCTGCTTACCTCAGTGCCATTATCCTTCAAAACCTTGCCAGCCACCGTCACAAGCTCCTTACACAAGTCACAGGGGATACTGCTCTGGAGAGAGAAGCAGACAGTTACTCTGAGAAAGACTTAAATGCCAAATAACACAAACAGCAAGCACTGTGTTTAGAATGGAAATTAAGGAAGAAATACTGGCTGAGGCTGGGGTGGGAAGAGGTGTTTCAAACAAAGAGTGAGGCTATCTCAAGCATGCCCAGCTCCAGTTTCTTCAGTAAATCAACAAGGCATGAAGAAGCTGGCATGCTACCACCTATCCATTTCAACTAGTCCCAGTCCCTTGAAGCATACTGTACCAACAAGCCTTCTCCTGAACCTTTTACCTTACTCTTCAGAGAGTTCACACTTGCTAGAACCTAAGAACATTCCAGGCAACTTCCCTCATTTTAGTTGTGCTCTGAGATTCCTCCCTTCCCCTAATTTCCCCTAAACTGAAATATCTCAGTAGAGACATAGTCAGTGTGGACTGAATGCCTCTGTAAGTAAAATGCCTTTGGCCTCCCTGGAAACAATACCCCAAACTACAGCTACACCTAGTAAAGCAGCCCTCACCTTTAGTGCAAATGCAACTCGAAAGGCTGCACTAAATGTAACATTTCTACCACTATTTGTCATGGCTTTCATAATTTAGCATATGCTGGAACATGAACTTTTGAGAAAGACCTAAAGAAGCACACAGCTGTTTTCGTAATAACTCGTTGCTCAAGTGGACTCCATGAATTAGGGGTCAGCAATAAAGAGGAACGAGTGAAATCCACTAGCTCCGTTCCATACATTGCTCCCTGATTGTGCAACAGGTCACGGGAGAAGTCAGCAGACAAGTTGTGCAAGGCAGAGCAGTGAAGAGCAACCTTTATCTAGCACCTAAATTAAGGCACAGCAATCAAAGCAGAGCCAGATGTAACACTTAAATCCAATCAGAGACTTGGGAAACCTTCCTCTGCACGTGGGAACCAGCCACCTCAGCTGCAGGTGGTGGGGGAAGAGGTGTGAGCAGTGGGTACTCACTACAGCAGGCTTGTTCCAGACGTTCTGCTGGCAGTGCTTCACCGCCCCGCACTGCGACGCCGTGCGGATGCTCTGGCACCACACCTCCGGCCCCTTCACACACTCCTTCTGCCACAGCACAGGGCTGGCCACAGCTGCCAGAGAGAAAAAACAACCATCCTTCAGTGATTTCTGCTCCAAAGCAAGCAGGTTAACGCTGCGCAGTGTAACCGCCTCCTCTCCAGTACATCACTTCGGTTTATTAATGTTTTTTAAGCACATTTCAATCCAGCAATTTGAGATGAAACACGAGCCCCCAAACACCGATTTACACAAAGAGCGAGAAAAACCACAACAGCTGAAGCTCCTTCGTGAAGTCCCTGAGTCTCAGCACCTTGGTATATTCCCACCATCAGCCACCTTTTGTTAAAAAAAAAAAAAATTCCAACAAAATACAAACTGCCACTTTACTTAGCACACAAGAACTATCAAATGACTTGAAACAGGGAAACTGCTCATTGCAGAAATCTACACTTCGAACAGCTAATTCCCTAGGCTACAACCTCCCTGTTCTCCTGTTCCACTGTCACTTCAACTCTGAACCAGCCTGGAATTGCTGTCTGCATTCCTCCTCCCACGTGAACCACCCTGTTCTCACACAGCTACTGAGAGAGGGAGGAAACTCACTGGATTAGAAGCCACAACAATGTACACATTACATGGAAGACTTAAGAGCAGGTACACACCAAAACACTGATGATAAACAGAAGGTTTTAATAAACAACCCAAGGAATGTTCCATCATAGTTTTTAAACCACTAAATCTATTTATACTTGTTTTGGTTTTTTTCTCTTGGTCAGCAATTCAACTGTGTACAGAAATATCTGTGGGGGTGAAAAGAAGTATCAGTCCTTATCTGGACATGACCTCCCATCCCACATGGAATTGCCTTCCAAACCTATAAAGTTTTCAAGTAAAACACAGAATGCCATTTCTGGACAGTTTTCCTAAGGAAATGTAAAACATCTGCACTATGAGTAAGCAATAGGAAAAGTGAATCAGCTGCACCTTTTTGCTGACTTTCCAAGCTTCTTTTTTTTTTTTAATTGTGCTGTCTGGACTGGACGCCCAACTGCTCCCAGGTTCTAAAACCATCCTATCTGTCAAGCAGGCTCAGTTTCTTCAGCAATGCCCTATGCTGCACTAACCTATGAAGAAACAACTCCTATAATCCTACAGCAAACAAGTTCCAACAAAATCTACCATGGTCCAAAGCCTACAAGGCACTGCTGTCAAAGTTCACAATAACAAAAACATCAAAACAAAAAACACAAAGCCAACCTGTTCTAAGCCATTACCTGTACAGGTGTTGTTGAGGATCTTTACATCAATGCTGTTTACACATGACAAAATCCTGTAAAATTACACTGTCAGCCAAGAGGCAGGAGTTAAGCTGTTTCATCCCTACAAAGTTCTAGTAAGGTTACAGAAGATGAACTTTTCCATTTCTCATGTCTTGTTCTGAGCAAGCAGGGGATCGATGTAACAGCTGAATTACAAGCGCACGTACCAGGTGCACAGCCACCACGCATCAAACAGCCACACAAACGCTGCTTTATAGGTGGCATTCTGCAGCCTTCTCAGCTGTTGATTTAATAAAGCCTGTTTACACTGGATTTCAGAGGAATGACCCATTTATTTCAAGAAAGACGTGCTTTGAACCCTTAATCTTTTACACAAGAGCTTGGAGCTTGCCACCCTCTCTCCCAGCAAAAAGCCCTGATTGCACATTACTGCTGAGCAAGACAGCACACCAGGACTGCTTGTGAAACTGTAGGGGGAAAAAAAGACTTCAAAGCTCCTAATAACGTATGGTCAGCAAAATATTTACAGCCTATTCTAAACTCCAGCATTATGGATCTGGGAACATAAGAACAGTTGATTTTCAAAGTCAGACTGGCCAGCCAAAGAGCTGTCAGCTCTGGCAGGGTGACAATAACCAAGTATACACTTGGTTGAGGGAAAGTTATTCTTCTCTTTTAGATAATGGCATTGAACAGTGGTAAGAAGGCTCTGGAAGGCAGAGTCAAGCTCTGAATAAAGTAAAGCAAGACCTGGACTTTAAATAGTGGAATTAAGGGCTCCCAACTATTTACAAGTAAAGCTTTTAACCTACGCCTTTATTTCTGTAAATCAAAGGAAATTACTGCCCCTACATTGAAACTTACTGTAAAACTCCAAATCTAAACTATATAACTGAAATTACAGTTATTCCAAGCAGTTTCTCAAAATCTTGATCTAAGAGAATGTCTAAAAGCCAAACTGAAGCATTTGTGCTGTAACTTGCACTGGTTTGATCTGCCTCTTAATGACCTTTGAGGTTCCTTTTGCTTCTTTAAGATCCTGTCACTGTATGACTTTTCAGATCCATACCAGCTTCAGCAGAATGTCCAACAGCTAATCTTGCTGCTCCTTCCTCATAGTCTTAATAACAGGTCATTAATAAGTGCATAGGGCCGAGCAAGCTTGGATGGTGGCAGTGAGGTCCTCAGGACGTAGGTTTAATTAGAGTGACCTTCTCTTAGATGGATGGCCTTACAGGGCTAAGCGAGCTCCATCTGCCCGGGTTTGGGATTAGAGTTGTCCTTCTCCTAGTATGACTGCCAGAAGGCTAACAAGCTCATCCTGCCCAAGAATGTAGTGTATCTGGTCCTAGGGTTTTGACCTGCCTGGCATGGGTGACCCTACCGAAGGCATGGCTCACAACCACACAGGGGTACACAGGTTTCATTCCTATTAGAACAATTTGGCCATATCTTACATTTACTACTTTGCTATCACCTATCTATATACAATCTCCAGGAAATACCCAGGAACACCCCTTTGTCCTGACCACCCTGTCAGGGTGTAACAGAGCAAAGCAAATATATCCAGAACGTGCCGAAGCCGGGCAGTACAGACCTGGTGTTTGTTCTCAGACAACTGCAAGAGAAGTGTAGGGAACAGAACAAAGGTCTCTGTGTAACCTTTGTCAACTTCACCAAGGCTTTCGATACCGTGAGCAGAAAAGGTCTATGGCAGATTTTGGAATGTTTAGGTTGTCCCCCTAAATTCCTTAAAATGGTCATCTAACTCCACGAGGATCAGCACGGCCAAGTCAGATATGGTGATGCACTTTCTGAGCCCTTCCTAATAACTAATGGTGTGAAACAAGGCTGGGTTCTCGCACCAACCCTATTCACAATCTTTTTCAGCATCATGCTCCAAAGGGCCATGGCAGACCTCGATGATCAGGACGGTATCTACATTCAATACTGTACTGATGAAGCCTTTTCAACCTAAGGTGACTGAAGGCCCACACCAAGACCTTAAAACATCTTGTCCGGGAGCTGCTTTATGCTGATGACGCCGCCCTTGTGGCCCACACAGAAGCAGCTCTGCAGCGTTTAACATCCTGCTTTGCAGACACTGCTGAGCTCTTTGGGCTGGAAGTCAGCTTAAAGAAGACAGAAGTTCTCTATCAACCTGCACCTCAGGAAGTCTTCCTTCATCCCCACATCACCATTGGCCAATCAGAGCTCAAATCAGTCCAGCAGTTTAATTACCTGGGCAGCCTCATCTCCTCGGATGGTAAGATTGATGGAGAGATAGACTAACAGGTTAGCAAAGGCATAGAGAGCTTTTGGAAAACTCCATAAAAGAGTTTGGCGAAATAAACACCTGAAGAAAAGTACAAAGATCAGTGTTTACAGAGCCATAGTGCTGTCTGCTCTCTTATATGGACCTGAATCATGGGTCATCTACCGCCACCACCTGTGACTCCTAGAACGCTTCCATCAACGCTGTCTCTGCACAATCCTAAACATCCACTGGTCAGATTATGTGACCAATCCATCTGTTCTAGAACAAGCAGCAGTCACAAGTATTGAGGCCATGTTGCTGAGAACACAGCTGCGCTGGGCAGGGCACGTCTCCAGGATGAAGGACCAACCACCCCCTCCCTAAGATCCTGCTTTATGGTGAACTTGCCACCGGCTGCTGCGTGAGAGGAGCCCTGAAGAAAAGATACAAGGACTCCCTGAAACAACATCTAAGCCTTGGCCATACTGATCACCATAACTGGTCTACTCTGGCCTCCAATCGGGAGGCCTGGAGACACACCATCTATAACACTACGGATGCTTTTGAGAAAGCACACAGGATCACTCTTGAGGAGAAAAGACAACACAGAAAGAATCGTGCCCTGCAGAATACACCACCTAAGGAGTCTTTCTGCTGTGCCTTTTGCAACTGGACATGCCTGTCTCGTATTGGCCTTTTTAGCCACCAACAAACGTGGGTAGAGCCCTTCCCAAATCTTTGTTTGCGAAGCCTGGCCATGATGATGAATAAGTGCATAACAAAAATACTACACTTCAGATTTATTCTTACTGATCAGCTTTTTTGGCTGTGTATCTTTAACAAACTCCGTGCTGCATGGCTTCTGTATCAAACATGCTCACACAGTCACAAATGCTCTGACTTGTTCACGAGGAGAGGGGGAAAAAAAGGCTTAAAATCAGATTGATCTTTGACAGTGTATTAACTAACCGATGCCTGACTTCTCTGCTTCCCTGCATCCCATCTCACCAGCTTGTAAGGAGAAAAATGAGGAGTTTCACAGCCACATTTTGTTCAGATTCTGCTCAAAGCATTGCCACTGGGCACAAAGTCACTTGGAATTTGAGAATAAGGGCATTAATGCTACCTGCCACTCCCTACAGAGGGCCAAAGACAATCTCAGAAGAACTTGGAAGCAGAAGGGACAGTGAGGCATAAGAAGAAAACTGTTCATAAGCCACTAAACAGTGAAAACTAGTTTTAGGATGGAAGCAAGCACTCCAAACACTTTCTCACTGGTATTATTTAAAGTCCTCACTCCTGCACAACATCAGAGGACGAGGAGATGCCACTATACCTACAGACTTCTAGCAAAAGAAGCCCACAGGCTCAGGAAACCTGATTACAGCATGAGATGAACACTTACCTACAGAAACAGAGAACGGTGGAACAGCAGTGCGCTTTCACCTGCAAATGACACTGGGGAAGTTCTTTCCTTCTGAGAAGACAACTCTAAATTCCATGTTTTCAGTACAGATCATTCTGGTCAAACAGT